CTGAATGCCTCTAGGGGCAAAGTATAATATGTGGCAAAAAACAGACTTCACCATGGGAATCAGCGTCCAAAACTGTACCCATGGACCAGTTTTTATGAAAATCTAAGGGGGTCCCCCTTCCCCAAAAAACTTTGAATGCCTCTAGGGGCCAAAGTATAATATGTGGCGAAAAACAGACTTCACCATTGGAATCAACGTCCAAAACTGTACCCATGGACCAGTTTTTATGAAAATCTAAGGGGGTCCCCCTTCCCCCAAAAAACTTTGAATGCCTCTAGGGGCCAAAGTATAATATGTGGCGAAAAACAGACTTCACCGTTGGAATCAGCGTCCAAAACTGTACACATGGACCAGTTTTTATGAAAATCTAAGGGGGTCCCCCTTCGCCCCAAAAAAACTTTGAATGCCTCTAGGGGCCAAAGTATAATATGTGGCGAAAAACAGACTTCACCATTGAAATCAGCGTCCAAAACTGTACCCATGGACCAGTTTTTATGAAAATCTAAGGGAGTCCCCCTTCCCCCAAAAAACTTTGAATGCCTCTAGGGGCCAAAGTATAATATGTGGCGAAAAACAGACTTCACCGTTGGAATCAGCGTCCAAAACTGTACACATGGACCAGTTTTTATGAAAATCTAAGGGGGTCCCCCTTCGCCCCAAAAAAACTTTGAATGCCTCTAGGGGCCAAAGTATAATATGTGGCGAAAAACAGACTTCACCATTGGAATCAGCGTCCAAAACTGTACCCATGGACCAGTTTTTTATGAAAATCTAAGGGGGTCCCCCTTCGTTCAAAAAAAAACTTTGAATGCCTCTAGGGGCCAACGTATAATATGTGGCGAAAAACAGACTTCACCATTGGAATCAGCGTCCAAAACTGTACCCATGGACCAGTTTTTATGAAAATCTAAGGGGGTCCCCCTTCCCCCAAAAAACTTTGAATGCCTCTAGGGGCCAAAGAATAATATGTGGCGAAAAACAGACTTCACCGTTGGAATCAGCGTCCAAAACTGTACACATGGACCAGTTTTTATGAAAATCTAAGGGGGTCCCCCTTCGCCCCAAAAAAACTTTGAATGCCTCTAGGGGCCAAAGTATAATATGTGGCGAAAAACAGACTTCACCATTGGAATCAGCGTCCAAAACTGTACCCATGGACCAGTTTTTATGAAAATCTAAGGGGGTCCCCCTTCGCCCAAAAAAAAACTTTGAATGCCTCTAGGGGCCAAAGTATAATATGTGGCGAAAAACAGACTTCACCATTAGAATCAGCGTCCAAAACTGTACCCATTGACCAGTTTTTATGAAAATCTAAGGGGGTCCCCCTTCCCCCAAAAAACTTTGAATGCCTCTAGGGGCCAAAGTATAATATGTGGCGAAAAACAGACTTCACCGTTGGAATCAGCGTCCAAAACTGTACACATGGACCAGTTTTTATGAAAATCTAAGGGGGTCCCCCTTCGCCCCAAAAAAACTTTGAATGCCTCTAGGGGCCAAAGTATAATATGTGGCGAAAAACAGACTTCACCATTGAAATCAGCGTCCAAAACTGTACCCATGGACCAGTTTTTATGAAAATCTAAGGGAGTCCCCCTTCCCCCAAAAAACTTTGAATGCCTCTAGGGGCCAAAGTATAATATGTGGCGAAAAACAGACTTCACCATTAGAATCAGCGTCCAAAACTGTACCCATTGACCAGTTTTTATGAAAATCTAAGGGGGTCCCCCTTCCCCCAAAAAACTTTGAATGCCTCTAGGGGCCAAAGTATAATATGTGGCGAAAAACAGACTTCACCGTTGGAATCAGCGTCCAAAACTGTACACATGGACCAGTTTTTATGAAAATCTAAGGGGGTCCCCCTTCGCCCCAAAAAAACTTTGAATGCCTCTAGGGGCCAAAGTATAATATGTGGCGAAAAACAGACTTCACCATTGAAATCAGCGTCCAAAACTGTACCCATGGACCAGTTTTTATGAAAATCTAAGGGAGTCCCCCTTCCCCCAAAAAACTTTGAATGCCTCTAGGGGCCAAAGTATAATATGTGGCGAAAAACAGACTTCACCGTTGGAATCAGCGTCCAAAACTGTACACATGGACCAGTTTTTATGAAAATCTAAGGGGGTCCCCCTTCGCCCCAAAAAAACTTTGAATGCCTCTAGTGGCCAAAGTATAATATGTGGCGAAAAACAGACTTCACCATTGGAATCAGCGTCCAAAACTGTACCCATGGACCAGTTTTTATGAAAATCTAAGGGGGTCCCCCTTCGTTCAAAAAAAAAACTTTGAATGCCTCTAGGGGCCAACGTATAATATGTGGCGAAAAACAGACTTCACCATTGGAATCAGCGTCCAAAACTGTACCCATGGACCAGTTTTTATGAAAATCTAAGGGGGTCCCCCTTCCCCCAAAAAACTTTGAATGCCTCTAGGGGCCAAAGAATAATATGTGGCGAAAAACAGACTTCACCGTTGGAATCAGCGTCCAAAACTGTACACATGGACCAGTTTTTATGAAAATCTAAGGGGGTCCCCCTTCGCCCCAAAAAAACTTTGAATGCCTCTAGGGGCAAAGTATAATATGTGGCGAAAAACAGACTTCACCATTGGAATCAGCGTCCAAAACTGTACCCATGGACCAGTTTTTATGAAAATCTAAGGGGGTCCCCCTTCGCCCAAAAAAAACTTTGAATGCCTCTAGGGGCCAAAGTATAATATGTGGCGAAAAACAGACTTCACCATTAGAATCAGCGTCCAAAACTGTACCCATGGACCAGTTTTTATGAAAATCTAAGGGGGTCCCCCTTCCCCCAAAAAACTTTGAATGCCTCTAGGGGCCAAAGTATAATATGTGGCGAAAAACAAACTTCACCGTTGGAATCAGCGTCCAAAACTGTACACATGGACCAGTTTTTATGAAAATCTAAGGGGGACCCCTTCGCCCCAAAAAAACTTTGAATGCCTCTAGGGGCCAAAGTATAATATGTGGCGAAAAACAGACTTCACCATTGAAATCAGCGTCCAAAACTGTACCCATGGACCAGTTTTTATGAAAATCTAAGGGAGTCCCCCTTCCCCCAAAAAACTTTGAATGCCTCTAGGGGCCAAAGTATAATATGTGGCGAAAAACAGACTTCACCGTTGGAATCAGCGTCCAAAACTGTACACATGGACCAGTTTTTATGAAAATCTAAGGGGGTCCCCCTTCGCCCCAAAAAAAACTTTGAATGCCTCTAGGGGCCAAAGTATAATATGTGGCGAAAAACAGACTTCACCATTGGAATCAGCGTCCAAAACTGTACCCATGGACCAGTTTTTATGAAAATCTAAGGGGGTCCCCCTTCGTTCAAAAAAAAACTTTGAATGCCTCTAGGGGCCAACGTATAATATGTGGCGAAAAACAGACTTCACCATTGGAATCAGCGTCCAAAACTGTACCCATGGACCAGTTTTTATGAAAATCTAAGGGGGTCCCCCTTCCCCCAAAAAACTTTGAATGCCTCTAGGGGCCAAAGAATAATATGTGGCGAAAAACAGACTTCACCGTTGGAATCAGCGTCCAAAACTGTACACATGGACCAGTTTTTATGAAAATCTAAGGGGGTCCCCCTTCGCCCCAAAAAAACTTTGAATGCCTCTAGGGGCCAAAGTATAATATGTGGCGAAAAACAGACTTCACCATTGGAATCAGCGTCCAAAACTGTACCCATGGACCTGTTTTTATGAAAATCTAAGGGGGTCCCCCTTCGCCCAAAAAAAACTTTGAATGCCTCTAGGGGCCAAAGTATAATATGTGGCGAAAAACAGACTTCACCATTAGAATCAGCGTCCAAAACTGTACCCATGGACCAGTTTTTATGAAAATCTAAGGGGGTCCCCCTTCCCCCAAAAAACTTTGAATGCCTCTAGGGGCCAAAGTATAATATGTGGCGAAAAAACAGACTTCACCGTTGGAATCAGCGTCCAAAACTGTACACATGGACCAGTTTTTATGAAAATCTAAGGGGGTCCCCCTTCGCCCCAAAAAACTTTGAATGCCTCTAGGGGCCAAAGTATAATATGTGGCGAAAAACAGACTTCACCATTGGAATCAGCGTCCAAAACTGTACCCATGGACCAGTTTTTATGAAAATCTAAGGGGGTCCCCCTTCGCCCAAAAAAAACTTTGAATGCCTCTAGGGGCCAACGTATAATATGTGGCGAAAAACAGACTTCACCATTGGAATCAGCGTCCAAAACTGTACCCATGGACCAGTTTTTATGAAAATCTAAGGGGGTCCCCCTTCCCCCAAAAAACTTTGAATGCCTCTAGGGGCCAAAGTATAATATGTGGCGAAAAACAGACTTCACCGTTGGAATCAGCGTCCAAAACTGTACACATGGACCAGTTTTTATGACAATCTAAGGGGGTCCCCCTTCGCCCCCAAAAAAACTTTGAATGCCTCTAGGGGCCAAAGTATAATATGTGGCGAAAAACAGACTTCACCATTGGAATCAGCGTCCAAAACTGTACCCATGGACCAGTTTTTATGAAAATCTAAGGGGGTCCGAATGTGATTCTGAAAGTGAATCTGAATCTGAGGCTGTCTTGACAGACGTGGAAAGATTGAGGAAGCCGAATGACTCGCTTTTCGGTACTTTACGTATAAATACGTCCATGACAAGGCCGTCTTTGTCTCGTTGTTGTTTCTTACATCGATTGGTGAAAGTGGCAGCGGTCGGTCCCGTTAGTTTCACAGAATGTCCGTGCCTGCTGCGCTGCCAGTTTCTTTTTCCCCACGGTGACGGCCGTGGCAAGGCTGATCCTCGCCCGGCGGCGGTCTGAAATAATTATTGTAAATAGAAATACCCTGCACTGTCTAGCCGTGGGACTACGGCGGCTGGCGTGGCGCGGTAGGTACTGTCTTTACGAGTGTATACGTAGATGGAAGCATGTATACTGGAGCGACCTTAACGGAATTAGCCTGCACTCTGGACCGTGCTCGGTTCGGGCTGCTCAGTGTATGGTATTCATGGTTACCTACACGGCACGGCCTAACCTACGTCGTTCGACCCACGTACCGGGGAACGTCCGGGCGGCACCTGCGCTCCGGCCGCCTGCCGTGCGGACTCTGCCTGACCTTGTGACCGGCGCCGTCTCACCTGCCGCGGTCGGCGGGCCGCGCAGGCGCAGTAGGGACTGCTCGGACCGGTCCGGCGGGCCGCGGACCCCGGCGGACCCCGCTGGACCGGGCGGCAGGGCACGCCGGGCCGGCATACGCGGCGTCCGGCCGGCCGGCGGCGGGACAGGCGGGACAGTCGGGGCCGGTATCGCCGGCCATCAGGTGGTGTTTGGGGCCGGTGGGGTGCCGGCTGAGTGTCCAGTGCATTTGTTAGCAAACTGCAGTGCTGTGAGGCCGAAGCCCGCTCCCCCAATAGGCGGAGGTCAGGGAAAGCAGGCGCCCAGAATCCGCCCGGTATTCGTCTGTTGACTGTCAGCTGAAGAGGTGAGTTGGGCCGCATCACTAACGAATACGACGCCCTCATTACACCAATGCTTCATGTTGTGATACTGAAGATTCGTTGTCTAACCAATGTAATGATGTAAATATGTGACGCTATAGAATCTTCTATGGCTTACCGTAAACCGCCGGGAAACAGTAACCCTGAGACTACATTTGTGAATAGTGCTTTTCGAGAGTCGATGTAAATTGACCGGCCTGACATCGTCTCGGTACCCATTCCGTGCCTGTTCCTCTCGGTCCTCCATCGAGGGCTCCTGTGTCGCACCAGCAGTACCGCATGGTCATCTGTATCTGTACTCGCTCTACCCCACCATTACCAGTGATGTCCCTAATCCTATCTTCCACTGCCAGTACTTTTACCGCTCAGTGGTCGAACTAATCCATATCCAGGGACAGCTTCCACCAATTGCAGAGGAAGATAACATCGCGCTGCCTTTCCGATCGGACGGGCATTTGTTGCAATTTTTAATCTGTCGGACGCCGCTAACCCGGCCGGATGTTGTTGCCAGCCCAGTGGACGGCGGTCGGCGGTCGGTGGACAGCAGTGGACGGCGGTCGGCGGACGGCGGTCGGCGGACGGCGGTCGGCGGACGGTGGACAGCAGTGGACAGCTACAGCGGACGGCGGACGGCGGTCGGCGGACGGCGGTCGGCGGACGGCGGTCGGCGGACGGCGGTCGGCGGACGGTGGTCGGTGTGCAGCAGTGGACAGCTGCAGCGGACTCTGACGATGGGGATCTCTGGGACGTCCATCGTGCTGAAGCCGAGCGGCCGCGGCCCGGACTCGTTCATGCCCGGGGACGCGGTGCGCGGAGCTGTGGTGGTCTCCATCACGGGCAGCGCCGGCTGCAAACTGACCGGTGAGGGTACATACCGTCCTTTGAGGCTGCAAACTGACAGATGAGTGTCGCTGTTAAGAACATCAAACGCATGATGCGTTAGTCGGTCCCGCGTGAGGGAACCGTGACCGCCTCTGTCGATAACTGGGGTCTTGTTTTGATCATCCTTCAACCTCTGGTAATATTGTAACCTTTGACTATCCCGCGACGACGGGCCGTTCTGACCTGAACTGCTCTGACCCGACCCACAGAGGTAACGCTGACGGTGAAGGGCCAGGCGCGGACCCACTGGACCACCCACAACGGCACCTGGTCGTCCAAACACGCCCAGAAGGAGACCTTTCTCAAACTGGTACTGCCCGTGCTGCGAGGTAAGTTACCGCCACTGCAGTTTCTACGTCTGCCACTGACGGAGACAGCGTCCCGTTAATTTCCATTGCTATCGTACCGGATTCAATGCCGATTGCTGTTAATATTCCGCTGAAAACTAAGCTCAACTTCGCCCAAGTACCACCTAATTGAAGCGCTAGCAATGCTAGATTCATATTTTATTGGGACTGAAGCGCTATCCACACTAAATGCGCAACTTTTTACTCCCCCGCAACTGTTTGGCTCCACTGTGACCAGATGTGACCTCTCCCTGACCCTGCTCTGGCCCGTTGTGACCCACAATAAGGAAGAGTGCCGTGAGTCGTAACCCCGCTGTCTGACCCCGCTGTGACCTCTCCCTGACCCCGCTGTGACCCACAGTGAAGAAGGGCGCCGTGGCCACGCTGCCACCTGGCGAGAACCAGCTCAACTTCAGCTTCACGCTGCCGGCGGGCCTGCCGCACTCGCGGCTGTATGAGCACGGCGAGGTGGCCTACAAGATGGTGGCGCGCGCAGTCTCCGGCCCGCTGGGTAGTGCCTGGAATGGCACCAACAAGCTGGAGATCACCATGCTGCAGCGCCGAGACCTGAACGCCCTCCCGCACCTCGCCGTGAGTAGCGCCCAGGGACGGTCTCGTAGCTGGCAGTGGACTGACGCTCCCGACTGTGACAGTGGACTGACGTTCTCAGTCAATGACAGCAGCCTGAATCTGAACGTGGACTGACGCTGCTGACTGAGACAGTAGACTGACACTCCCGACTGTGACAGTGGGTTGAACTTCTCGTATCTGTCATCAGACTGACGGACAGTGGGCTGGTTTCCCGTATCTGACAGCAGACTGACACCCGTCTGTGACCACGGACTGACGCTCCATATTTGTGACATCGGATTGGCTCCCCATATCTGACAGTAAACTGACGCTCCCGTCTATGACAGAGGACTGGCGCCCCTTCACTCCCGTATCTGTGACAGCGGACTGACACCCGTCTGTGACAGCGGACTGACGCCCCTGTATCTAACAGCGTCGACTGGTGGTGGAGCGGAAGGCCAAGAGCAGCACCTCGCGTCGCGAGGACCCCGGACAGTTCACTGTCATGCTGCCGCGACAAGGATTCGTGGCCGGAGAGACCATCGACGTGTACCTAGACGGCTCGGACGACGTGCTCAGCGCCCTGGCGCGCAACGAGGGACTCGTCAAACTGAAGAGGGTAAGGAAGGATAACGAGTTCGCTGCGTGTGTGGTTCTGAGGGATTTAGGTAATGCGGAAAGATTCGGTACTAAAACGGCTGCAGTGTGTGTGTGTGTGTGTGTGTGTGCACTGTGCAATGTGGATACTGCTTACTGCTCACTTTACCATAATTCTGGAAGAATAGTCGGGGCTATCCTTGTTACTATCATTGCATCTGTTGCTGCCAATCTGGCTGTGACTTTGTGACTGACTGTGTGACTGTGACTGCGGCCAGTGCGAGGAGTTTCGCGCCGGCTCCAGCACGGAGTACCATAAGCCGGTGCTCACTCAGAAGCGGCTCGGCCTGGATCCCTCCGAGTGGCGCCATTTCCAGCTGACCGTGCCGCGAGACGACATCGGTATCGACCCGGCCGTCTGCCGCATCATCGCCGCATCACACTACATCAAGGTGGGCGTCACAACTCACTCAACACTACGTCAAATAACACGATTTATGTCACATAACACTGCGTCAAGGTGAGCGTCACACAACACCACGTCAAGGTGGGCGGCCCGGCGGACTGCCGACTCACGCCGCCGGCCACGGAGAAAAGGCACCGCGCCGGACGCCCGGCAGGGCAGAGGGCAGCACTGTTGTACATAAATAGCACCCACCGTGGGCAGTATAGGCGTAATGGGCAAAGTTAACAAACGTTAGTTGATGCTGGGGCTTGGCTAGGTTTAGCTTCATGACATTGTTGAGTACATCTTATCTTGTGGCAGGGTCATGGCGATCTAGTGCCGAAAGTGGATCTGCCATCTATCGGTTCCCGATTATTTGGAATGGTAGGTCCTCATAAGGTGGCCTGTCTTAGTTTAAATTGTAGTTATTAGTTGGACAAATGTCTGTTTCGATTACGTCTAAGCTAGGTGAATCCGTGTGTGATCTCAGGCTCGTTCCTGTAGTTCGGTGACCTCCGCCGGCCGCTCCGTAGTTGATCGACCACTGCCAGCCGCTGTTGTAATTTGCTGACCTCTGCCGGCCGCTGCCGTAACCTGATGACCTCTGCCGGCCGCTGCCGTAGTCTGATGACCTCAGCTCGCTCGTTGCCCGCAGATCTGGGACGTCCACCTGCCGCTGACCCTGGGAACCATCGCGTTCGGCAAGCGCTCCTCGTCTCGGCCGCCGTCGCGCTCACCGTCCGGGGCGCGGCTGGCGTCCTCTCAGAACTCGTCGCGCGCGCCGTCCCGCTCGCCGTCCGGCGTGGCCCTCTGCCAGACGCCGTCCCGGACCAACTCCGGCGCCGACCTCAGCCAGCTGCCCTTCAAGGTGCTCGCCGGACTGGCCCTGTTCCAGAACTCACCCCGGCCGCCCTCGAGGTCGCCGTCCGGGGTGGGCCTATGTCATATCTCGCCCAAGGCGCCCTCGAGGTCGGCGTCCGGGGTGGGCCTATGTCATATCTCGCCCAAGGCGCCCTCAAGGTCACACTCTGGTGTAGCTTTATCTCAGACCTCACGGAACACACCCTCAAGAACACCGTCTGGTGTGGCATTATATCAAACCTCACCGAAAACACCCTCAAGAACACCATCTAAGACAGGTCTGTGCCACACACCCTCCAGGGCCCGGGACGCCGAGATCCAGTCAGCTCGCCCCCACTCCAGAACAGCCTCTGACTCATCGGACGAACATCTGCAGTTCCTGGCACCCGCCAGGCGGACACCGGAACCTGAGGAGGCTGAACAGCAAGAGGTGGGCGCTCGGACTCAGAAGCCTGAGCTGCACGAACTAATCACAGCGCTGCCTCCGGTCCCGAGGAATGAACCGCAGGAGCTGGGCACACCGCTACCGACCCCACAGAAGGCGGAGCTGAGAACCTTGCTGCCGACAACGCCACAGAAGGCTAAACCGCAGGAGCTGGGCACACCGCTGCCGACTCCACAGAAGGCTGAACCACAGGGGCTGAGTACTTTGCTGCCGACGACGCCACAGAAGGCTGAACCGCAGGAGCTGGGCACAGCGCTGCCGACCGCGCCGTGTAAAGTCACGGACGTGTAGCGTCCGGCGGAGAGTGCAAGTACAGTCAGCGCTGTCCCGTGTAGCGTCCGGCGGAGATACAGTTAATGCTGACCCGGCGTATAACGTCCGGCGAAACTCACAGTTGGTTCAGCTCCCGCCCCTGCGCCGGTAGGCCGACCGGAGGAATAGTGCCATAGCTGCGACGCTGCCGGGCTGAGAGGGGCGTCCATCGCGACGGGAGCTACGGTCGTGACGAGGACTCAGCCGCTCGTATTGGGGCGAGGGGTGGTCGGTGGCTCGCTATTGATGGACACCACTTACAGCTTACCCCGCTTCCCCTAGTGTGGCATGTTAAAGGTAGACTGCCACCTTTTTTCCACAAAACGGTTTTCACTAGAGCTGAGCCACCTATGTCCCAGACTGAAGTCGGTTTTCCGAAATTCGAACCCGTTTGCGAGAAATCGGAGACCAAAGTTCAGTTTGATGCCATTTTTTTAGTCCAAGAAAACCGACATCTCTACTGTTTATCGATAACTTTGAAACATGAATTTTCTTATCTTTTGGTAAATATATGTCAAAACTTTGATTGTTTCGAGATCAGAGAAGAATTTTAGAGTGTCAAAATAAAAGTTTAACTTATATATTCAGTAGTTCATTTTTTCCAAAAAAGTGTGGGAAATGGGGTTTAACATGGGCCAGACCCATTCCAAATGAGCCATTATTTTTAAATGTTTTACGAACTTAAATGCAAAATAAATTAAACATGGCCAATTTCTTATGAAATCATATATTAGTAAATCATAAAATACCTTACTTTTTCAAATAAAATGTAATAATCTTATGACCTTGAAGTCTAGTGATGTGTAAACATTGTCGCTAGACATTCACCGATTGATAATTGTATGATAATCGACAATTTTTTCGCGATTCACGTGATGATACTTTGTCAGGTGAATTCTAAAATTTTGTTTTGTCCAGGCAACAAATCATAGGCCTATCTGAGAAAACTTTTTGAAGGTGGCAGTCTTCCTTTAATAATTGCGTAGTGCATAACTGTTAATGAAGACGCTAACATGTGTATTGCTGTAAACGCTCTCTCTTAGCTCTCCCCGGCCGAGGGAGACTTGATTTAAGTGGCCTGACTAACATTTACGGAGACGATGTTCTGGTGCGGTTTTATGCGTAACTCTTTCCATTTTGGGCTGTGAAAACGCATACTCCGTCGGTGGCACACGGCAAATAATATAATTAATTTCTTAGCAGCTCACATTATCGAATTTTGTACACACTAGACGGTGTGTGAACTCGCAATGATATTACACTAAGTGACCGAGTCGATATTTGTCGAGGCGGGGGCCGCTCCGCTACCAATCAGTTGTAGTGAATGCCTAACATAAAAGTATTTAGCCATTTGTGACGTCAACTAACCATGTGTTGGACCATCGAGCCTCCAGCGTGATCACCAGCCCTCAGCCGGCGCTGGACTGCGTCAGAGGTGCACACCGCTCATTATTCTTCGTCTGCGAGACGCGCAGTGGCTACTCTGCTGTTGTGATACACATGATACTCACCTGCTGGCGCGGACTGGGCGCTGGAGGAGGGGCAGAGCCCTCCGCCGTCCAGTTGTACTCGCACCTGGCAGAGGAAGTGTGCTGTGTACTGCATTCCGCCGTTTATTAGCTCATGAAGTGTATGAGCGACCGATGTCGGCTGTTGCTCCGTCTATCCGTCCGTCCGTCCGTCCGTCCATCCGTCCGTCGGTCCGTCCGTTCGTCCGTCCGTCCGTCCGTCCGTCCATCCATCCATCCGTCGGTCCGTCAGCCCGTTCGTCCGTTCGCTGCTTTCTGACCCTTGCAGCACGAGTGCTCTACTCTCATGTGTGCTGCGTCGAAATGTTTGGTTGTGTCTGTATGTTTCTGTCAAGATTCCTATAGATAGGTTTCTGTGTGACTTGCTGTGTCGGTATGGTCGACTTTATGACTCGCCGTGTCCCTATGGTTGACTTTGTCTTTGTGCCAAATGCTCCCGGCGGTCCAAAACCAACGGCACACGACCCGATGGCGACATCCTTGGGAAGTGCTCCGGGAAAAGTGCCAAACTTGCAGCAGCCGTGAACTAAATGTATGCCATATAAATGTGTAAAATATGCGAAATCGGTTTGATTTGGGTTGCGGAATGCCGTATATCCAGTCCAGCATTATCTGCACTTTAGACGTTCATCTCTGTGGCTGCATTTGCAATATATCATAGTCAATGGATGCGTCACTGGGCTGAATAAATGCAGTTGGAATGGTAAGACTCATTGCGTTTCGACCTTGTGCGCAGCTGAGGCGGTTAGTGACCGGCCGGCGATAACACCGATGTCTGAACTCTGAGGAACGACACGATCAACGGGCAGTAGCCAGAACGTGTCTGCTATCCTCGGCGGCGGGTCGGGCTCACTGCAGTTCGGTCGGCGCGCGGTGACGAGTCAGAGGGTGCGTTACGGCGGTATGCTGGCAATGACCGGGTCCATAGTTCACGCTGTGCCCGTGAGTTCAGCGCTCGGACTGTGCGCGGTCCGTCGGCCGAGCCGCGGCCTTCCGCCGGCACCGAGCCGTCAGCCAGATCTCCGCGGCGTCACGGTACAGAGTCCGCGTGGACGGCGCGTGCCCGTGACTGACCAGTCGTATCTGACGCACCGCCGCCCACTCGACTCGCGATGGCTCGGCGAGCGAGCGGCTGCAGAGGCGCGTCCAAGGAGGCCACCGACGGCTGTGGGCTGTGTGGGGGAACTGGCCCTGCCTAAGTAGTGCCGTCTTCCGCCCCTGCCGCCTCGACCATCGGTCACGGACGAGATGCTGCGTCCACGGTTCGCGACGCTCAGTAGTAGTGGCACGTCTGTCGTCTGCGTCAGTGCTAAGGGTTATTGGTTATGCGTGCTATTGGTTATTTGAGGGCCTGACGTGAGAACTATTTCGGCGAGGGTCCACAGACGTTAGAAACATATTTTATAAATGATGCCTGCCTGATGAAGATTGCAGGTAAGCGGATCTTAATCTGCATAGGCTTCTATGCTTGGTTTACACAAGATTCCTTTACTGGTTTACACAGCCTTGTATGCTTGCTATCATTTTCGGGGGCATTCCTTCATATCAGAAGCCTCGTCAGCGCTGCCAAATGTTGCAAAAACGACACTAGCAAGACATTTGAGACGCAAAAATGTCATTCGATTTTCAGCATTTTTGCAGTTGAAGAACGTTGCTAGGCAACTTGTTGACTCTTTTTGAAGACTTCAAGGCTGGCCTTCTGAATGAGCAGGAAATGCAGGCTGGTAAAGAAAATATAGAACATGAATATAACGGTAAAAAAACTCAGTTGACCCTCCTGCCGTTATTGTTTACATTTCCGTGTGGCGTGTTGGCCGTTTGCTGTACTCAAAATACCCTGGTTTGCTACGGTCTGAGCGTGGAATGAGTTCATCATACTAGATAAGTGAGAATCTGTGTGAATCAGTAAGAAACGCAAGGTTATTTTGATTTTAAGGAAATAGGCCACTTTCAACATGGGGTTTTAAACTGGAATAGCAATGTTGTAGCTTGAGCTGAGACTAGCACTAAATCAGGAGATTTTACGGCCTAACGATCACACATGGCGAAGATATTCCATTTATCATTCCATAAAGAGTGCCTTGTAGAGGAATGCGTGCCTTGCTGAGGAATGCAGCCACGTCATCGTCAGCCAATCGGCATGCTGCTTACAGCTAATGCGGCATGCATAGCTTTGAAATACGCAATATGATTGGTCAACATGTAGTAGGCTTCTGTGTTAAACATTATTTTATATATAATATAGGTGCCTAGTTCAATTCCTTTAGGTATAAATATAGGAAGTAGTCCTTTTTATAGAAAAGTTTTTCTTTTCTGATCATTTTGAGCACCGTAAACCGGGGTGACAATGATACCCGGGGTGACTTTGATCATAGACCAATTTCGGGCCTCAAATGAGCATTTAGCTGCTGTGAACTGTATTTGCTATGCCAATGATTAAATAAAGCAATGAAGCATTATAGCAGACACTTTGGGTCCCAGTTAGAATAATCATGTTGATGTCACAGCTTGTTTTTTTTTGCTGTCATTGGCATGAAGTATAAATTCGCTAGCATCTCCAGCAATAATAATGGTAAAGATGAGAAAGACCCAGATAAAGAAAGATAAAGGAAAGGCTTCGATACTGATGATGGAGGATGAGCATTGAGCTGCTCTACTCAGTGGTAATTGGAGCGTCAATGGGAAGTGAAAAAGACAATCGACTGGGAGGGGCATGAGCAGTGTGGCAAGCAGTCCCACAGCCACCAGCAGACAAAGTGTGATGTAGAACAGGTAGCCTGTGGCTTAGGACATCTGTGACTGCTACTTAATCTTGAAGTCAGAGGTTAAAGTAGCCAATTTTGCTACTTATAGCTCTGTAATGTGAGTTTAGACCCAGAGCATGCAACTTTATTTTAATACCTCAATGATTCATAGTTTTGCTGTTAAATGTTTGAGTTTATGTCAAGCAAAGCATTTGCTTTTATTTAAAACATGTAAGTTTATCACACAAACCCCTTCTGAGGGCTCCTATGGCACATATAAGGTGATTTTAATGTAGTGATCATAGTCACCCCGACCTCTGGGTGAGAATGATCAATTTTTTTTTGTTAAAAAATAAAATATTTATGATAAATTTCAAGACATTTATTGTACTCAGTTAGATAGAGAATTGTCCAATTGGTATGATGAAACAGTTTCCAGAGTGAAATCTCAAGTGATATAGGAGATATTGTACCATACTGGTCAAAAGTGATACAAAGTCACCCCGGTTTACGGCATAAAAATGAAATCTATTGCAAAAAATAAATTCCAGGAAAGTGAACCATTTCCTCGAGCAAGTGCTTTATCTGTGAAACAATAATGAGCAGCTATGACTGAGAAGCTTGACGTGTGTGATGACATTTAACATGTGCCTGGCTCACTATCATGTCATTTATCACCCTGCGAGGCATCTTTTGGCTATCAATAAGTCATTGTGATTTTCCAAATACCCAGCTTCATATCGGCTAGGTATATGGTATTCTTCTACCTATTCACTTTTATTTCTTTAGTTCATTTACACATCAAATTAAGGACAGTGCCCAACAGCTTGTGGCGTGCTACAGGCTACCTATGCAGATTGCAGAATGCATGAATTATAGATGTCTCTTCATTAAAAGTCTGTTTTTCATGTATTTCTACACACCATTGATCATAACATTGACTTGATTTATTTGTTCCAGGAACATCCTGAAGAACAAAGATGATTTATTTGGTGACCCCAGTCTTTGCCCTGTTTGTTTTGATAATAGATATTGTTGAGTTTCTCTGGGGAGCATATTGGGATGTGGTCAAGACTGTTTTTCATGTTTTCATACCAAAATCTCAAAAAAGTATAGCAGGTAAAACTGTTTTGGTGAGTACCTGATGATTGTATTGTACCCAACCAACTATCAAGCATGGGGACAGTCATGGATTTTTCATTTTTGGTGTTGGTCCCCCCATTCATAAACAATTGGCCACCATTCGCTGCCATGATACTGTGATGGGTCCGCTGGCTGAGTGTGGCACTGACGGTACGATCTGGTGTCCACTGTCGATCCGATGTCCGCTGGCGAGTCGGACGCTGGTGATGTGGTGTGTCCGCTGGCGAGTCGGACGCTGACGGTAGATCTGGTGTGTCCGCTGGTGGGTGGCGAGTCGGACGCTGACGATGTGATCTGGTGTGTCCGCTGGCGAGTCGGACGGTGACGGTAGGTCTGGTGTGTCCGCTGGTGAGTCGGACGCTGATGATGTGATTGTAATCTGGTGTGATCGCTGTCGAGTCGGACGCTGATGATGTGATCTGGGGTGTGTCCGCTGGCGAGTCGGACGCTGATGATGTGATCTGGGGTGTGTCCGCTGGCGAGTCGGACGCTGATGATGTGATCTGGTGTGTCTGCTGGCGAGTCGGACGCTGATGATGCGATCTGGTGTGTCTGCTGGCGAGTCGGACGCTGATGATGTGATCTGGTGTGTCCGCTGGCGAGTCAGACGCTGATGATGCGATCTGGTGTGATCGCTGTCGAGTCGGGCGCTGACGGTACGACCTACTGTGTCGGCGCCGCTAAGCTGTGCTCTATGCCCAGGTTACGGGAGCGGCCAATGGCGTGGGGAAGGAGCTAGCCCTCCTCTTCGGCCAGGAGGGCTGCAATGTCATCTGCTGGGATGTCGAGGAGGTATGAGCGTGGCTCGATTACACAGACTTCATAGGATGTATGGTTAAAGTTCATATGCCTCACATACTTTTTTTTACACATTTCTCATCATCGGTCTTTGACATAGTATGCCAAGTATGTGTTTGCATTGTTTTGATTTTAAGGGCTTTATTTGAAATCTTATTTATTTGAGTTTTTCAGTTTGTTAGTTATGTCGGATATGCTAGAGTTGAATGATGATCTCCATTGTCATCGCTGTATGACATGCATTGTTTATGCATTTACCCTTGCGACGTGGAACGACGGTAACGACGCTTCGTTCCCGAGTGACTGACTCCCGCCCGTGCCGCGGCAGGAGGGTAACCGGGCGACGGCGGACGAGGTTCTGGCGGCCAGTCCGGGCGTCCGCTGCTCGTCTCAGCGCGTGGACGTCAGCCAGCGCCAGGAGGTGGAGCGCGCCGCCCAGCAGGTGCGTCCCCCTACCCTCTCCCCCTCCGCGGTGCCACCGGTCGGATGATGTGGATGTGTTACCGCAGATCCTCGTGCTGTTTGGTGTCTCTTTTGTCACACTGGCCGCTCCTCAGCTCAGAGAAGGGCGGGCTGTGGTATTGACACCGTGTCGCTGACGCCTGCCCGCTCCCCAGCTGTTGGCAGAGTATGGTGGGCTGGACATCCTCGTCAACAACGCCGGCATCATGCCCGTGAAGACGTTCCTGGAACACTCCCCGGAGGAGCTGGAGAGAATCGTCAACATCAACCTCATGTCGCAGTTCTGGGTACGACGCACGTTTCTAGCTGCTCAGCTCTGGCTTCAGTATTTCTTTCAGCACATTACTTTTTTGGGTTGCGCTTAGAAGTTTGATTATTGCCTAGTTTCAGTACAGGATGTGGCAAGTAAAAATGTTTATTGCTGTTGATATCGTGCGATTTCCGAAACTAATTTACTCTTATTGCATCTGTTTTATAAAAGAGGAAGTTAGAGGTGTGCAGGTATTACAGGGTGTCTCAAAAGTTCGCTTACACATTTCCCATGTCAATAAAGCATATAAGAAACGGCCAAAAATCTAAGGTTTTGGTGTCCGTGTCTACACTAGACAAATATGCATGCTTTGACAACTGATTCGGAAGGTTGGAAACCAAACCCTTTGCTGTATCTCCAAAAATATTTGCCCATACCGATTTTCGTCACTCCGTCAGCTGCCGGAGGCTGATAAAAGGTTACCAGCTTTCAAGCTCTTGTAGGGGAATCCCTCGCAGTTTCTGCGTCGGATTTAGGTTTGACGAGCTCCCCGGCAACATCCGCTTCTCCCTGAAAGCTGATAGCTTGCATCGACACCATCCGTGAGTATTTTGTAGGTCTTCTCTGGCGCTAACTCCTTCATGAATGACTGGCGCCGACCTCCCAAGCACCATTTTCCTTTTCAAAACAACCCCATTGCTGAACAAATGGGAAGTGCCAGGGGCAAATTTTTCGCAGCATATCGTAGCAGAATGTGTCGGCCATCTGTTTCTTAGACACATTTTGCAAAATTTGCAAATCCTGAACGCTCGTCATTCCCAATGCCAAGACCTTCGCTGGGTTCCGGAGTGTTTTCCTCAGGAGAGGTTCTGCTTTGTAAACGGCCAAAACCTGTCCATCGTGCGGTTTTGTCCGGATTTTGTGTGTAAAAGAAAGCTATTTGCTCCAGATCTGCCTCTTGAAACTTCGTTAGATAAAACTTTACATTAATTGACACTTTTGGAGGGTCACTTGTCCTCGGCATTGACGATTTTCGCATTATTTTCCCTCAAAATTTAGCGTTATAGATATTATAAACAATTTTAAATGATATTTTGTCTTTATTTTATGATGACCTGCAATTTTTGAAACTGGGTAACCTCTGTCTGTGAGCTTCTAGTCAGTTTTCAATAGTTAGAACTGCATTTTCAGCTGCTTTCCGGAGCACGAGTCTGCTGCGGTACAAGGGTCGTTCAAAGCGCTGTTAGTCTCGCATGGTTTTGTCCTTCAAAAATTTTAGCCACCGTTTTTATTAGATGACCATCATGTTGTACTCATCCTCGCCGACACTTTGCCATGTGTCATTTCCGACCTAACCATTCCCATTACTCGTGAAGCAGAGAGTTTCTCAGCCGACCCGAGTATGCGACATCCATTTTCATGCCTGATCCATGGTCAGAGGTGAACCCTTTTTGTGAGCTCATGAAGGGTCGAATGCGCTTGAAAACAATGAAGCTGCTTGAGGAAGGTTGGTACCAATGCCCATGCAAAATTTCGACTGTTAATTTCATGTTGATTCAGAATTATTGACAAAAAAGCATGGCTGGTACCTGTAAGCGAACTTTTGAGACACCCTGTACGTCTTGGCAATATCGAAGATGCCTAGCATTCCTAATAGATTCAGCGTATTCCTCCGTCGCGAGCAGCGCCCCGATTCTGTGTGTGGCACAGCGCCCTCCAACCCCTGCTGGCCCTGACTACGTGTCCTCCTCCATAGACGCTGCGCGCCTTCCTGCCCCGCATGTACCGTCTGGGCGGCGGCTCCGTGGTCAGCATGTCGTCCAACTGCGGCCTGATGGGCTCACCGCACCTGGTGCCCTACTGCGCCTCCAAGCACGCCATCCGAGGTGAGCAGACTCCGGGACCGTGGGGTGGTCAGGGGCTTTAGTGCCTCCATCCTGTGTGCTGCACATTATACAGAGGCCAGAGGGTGGCGGCTGTCAGCGCTGTGCTGGTAGGCCGTGCTGGTTTGTCAGTGCTTGTTTGGCTTTGCCGTGCTGGTTTGGTCATGGTGGTGTTCCTGCTGGTAGGCCATGCAGGTCTGACCGGGCCGCGTTGTTCGTGCGGTAGGTCCATTGTGTCTCTGTCTCCGCATTAAAGGCGATGATTACTCCGTTGTGCGCGCACCGTGCTCAGTGTGTTATGTCACTCTGTCCGCAGATCTGACTGTTGCGAGTCGCTTTGTGTCCCCAAGTGTGACTGTTGATAGTCGCTCTGCGCCCGTAGACCTGACTGTCGCTCTGTGACTGCAGGTCTGACTCTTAATAGTCGCTCCGTGTCCGCAGGTCTAACTGGTTGTCGCTCTGTCTCGGCAGGTCTGACTGTGGATTGTCGCTCTGTGCCTGCACGTCTGACTGTTGATTGTCCCTCCGTGCCCGCAGGTCTAATTGTCGCTCTGTGCCAGCAGGTCTGACTGTGGATAGTCGCTCTGCCCGCCGGTCTGACTGTTGCTAGCCGCTCTGTGTCCCCAAGTCTGACTGTTGATAGTCGCTCTGTCGGCAGGTCTGACTGTTGATAGTCGCTGTGTCGGCAGGCCTGACTGTGGATTGTCGCTCCGTGTCGGTAGGTCTGACTGTCGCTCCGTGCCCGCAGGGCTGACTGAGGCGCTGACGGAGGAGGAGCGCCATCTGAGCCAGGTGGGCCGCGCCTCGGTCCACTACCTCACCGTCTTCCCGTTCATCATCAACACCCGGCTCGTCAAGTACCCGCGCGTCAGGTGAGCAGCAGCCCTCTCTCTCTCTCTCTCTCTCTCTCTCTCTCTCTCTCTCTCTCTCTCTCTCTCTCTCTCTCTCTCTCTCTCTCTCTCTCTCTCTCTCTCTCTCGCTCTCTCTCTCTCTCTCTCTCTCTCTCTCTCTCTCTCTCTCTCTCTCTCTCTCTCTCTCTCTCCTCGGTGTATGGTGTATGTCCGTGTTTATGTCTGTGTCTGTGCCACCGACTATGACGCCTTTCCGGCAGGTTCCCCTGGCTGACGCCGGTCCTGACGCCCCGATACGGGGCCATGTGTGTCTGTGTTTGTCCATGAGGTTCTGTGGGTGACGGCCCGCCGCCCCGGCAGGTTCCCCTGGCTGACGCCGGTTCTGACGCCCCGATACGTGGCTGAGGAGACAGTGACGGCACTCAAGCAGGGAGAGGAGATCCTCTTCTTCCCCAAGTGGATGTACCCGGCCTTCCTGTTCAGCAGGTGAGACACGGTACCTGCTGGGACTGTGGGACGGACCACGGCGCTGGTCCCGCCGGCAGAAGTGGGGTACGATCTGTGCTCTCTTTCTCTGGATGCTGGGGATGATGTGAACTCTGGCCCTGGGTCCTGGGGTTGATCCCAGGTCTGCATCTTGCTGATGGGGACGATTTGAACTCTCTGGCTCTGGGCCCCGGGGTTGATCTGAGCTCTGTGTCCCTGGCTGTTGGGACGATCTGGTGTTCGCCAAGTAAGATGAGAGGTCACCCGCTACGAGAGACCATACATGTGATGGTAATAGTTTGCGGTTGCTGATGCCGTGCCGCTGCTCGTTGGGCGGCTGCGGGTGAACGGTATGTTGACCCGGTCCGGTCCGGTCTAGTCTGTCGGTCCGGCCCGGTCCTCTGACCCAGCTCCCCACCGGCAGGATCTGGCCGCGCAGGACGCAGCAGCGCTTCTACCAGCTGCTCGACACCGGAGTGGACAAGCAGCAGTACGACGTGGCGGACGAGATGCGCCGCTTCAACGCGCCGCCGCTGGCCCGACTCCGGCAGTGAGCGCGGCCCGGGGCCGGCCGCCGAGGGACCCGGCTCGGGTCAGCAGACTGTGGCGGCGCTGCACCTCTCAGGTCAGTCGCCGCCGCTCGAGCGACGCCCTGGGGGTGTATGGAGGTGGAGATGAACTGATATACTCATTGCTCAACTGGTAACGGGTGTTACGATGGTGTTTGCGACTGTATTTTTCTTATATGTATAATGTATATGTTTATTGCACATTGTTCTGGGGTAGAATAGCCAATAAGTACGGAAGCACGGCATCAGTTACATATATTCCGCATTATATCGAACTTTGCTGTTGCTGTAATATGGGGACCAAACGTGTTTGGACGGGATACTTTGTGCTTGCCCACAGCTACCAGTCTGTGGAAACCTTCGTGGAGTAGGTTAGAAACCGACATAGCAGTTTATTTGCTGTTGGTGGGTTTGTTAATTTGTTGGTGGGTTGCGTCCAAAGCACTCAGCCCTAAACATCCCTATAATGTCGGACGGAGGTCGGTGGTCATAGAACGCAATACTATTATTTACAACGAATCAGTGTTCAGCGAATCTGTTTTCAACGAATGCGTGGTGAAACTAATGGTTAGGAGAACGTCATTTGATGCAGGGTCGGTCGAAGACGTTTGCAATGTTATTACTAGCAGCGCGCTTTCCTCTTTTTCATCTAGTTATCTCGAACACCTAAGCATTTTAGGGACAAGCCAAAAGAACCTCAACGAAAGGGAAACAGTGGATCCTTTCAAATACTAAAGTGTGATATCAGTCGAACACCCCAAACGTGCATACAGTAATCCGAAGAACAGAAACAGCGAAAAACGCTCTCCATGTGGCCTGTACTTAACTCGATGATTAGCCTGACTGCTCGTGTGAAGGATCGCCTGTCCGTGGTAATTATCAGCGTTGGTAAAAGGTGCTTTCTGATTGTTTTTGTTATATAAGTTTGTTTCTACACGTTTCGTGCATGTTGATGCTGAATATACAATATACATTTACACAAGCTTGTTGCTTTAATTGGAGATGCGCCCATTGTTGAATGGAGTGGACCTCGCTAATACACCGACACCCGTTCGGATCCGGCGCGTCTTGTTTGCCAAAGCATTCAGTGGTGCCTAGGTGGCTTGTGATTAGTCAGCCGATGACGCCACTGACACTGTCAAAGACATATTCTTCGATTCTGGTTCAGTTTCAGGGGCTACCTTCGGACAAGGTGATAACCTGACGTGATTACAATCCGATGACGCGATGTTTGGCAGCCAGGGTGAGGGTTGCTGTAGTTGGGGAGACGGGACGTTGGGCCTCGAGGCCACCACAGCAGCGGCTCACCAGTGATTCGCTGAGCTCAGCCGCCCATAGCCAGAGGGTGAAGGGAATTACTTCCAGGAACTCCGTGCCCCATTTCTCATTATTCTCGTTAATCGGTGTCCAAGCGGCCCGGAACACTAGAGATAGTCGTCGGTACACGATATTAGAGTCACGGTAGGATTCTGAGGACAGGGCTGCAGTTGGAACCTAACCCATGGTCAATACAGTGGCAGACACTGTGACACGACATTGCATAATACATAGTAGACCCGGCGGCGCTGGCAGTGGTGGTGCCTCCACCTACCGAGCGCCGGCCGAACTGTGGCCAGTGACTGTGCGTTCCCGCCGCTCCGGGCCGGTCGGCTGATCCGCCGGTCAGAGGTCGGCGGCGGCGCGCGCTCTGCCGGCAGACAGGTCGCGGTGTCGAGCGTGCCGGGAGGGAGGTCCCGGTCGGACTGAAGGGAGGCGGCTGAATCAGCGGTCCGGTGAGTGTCTCTCCGTCCGACCCGTTCTCGGAGCTCAGCGCGGACCCGCCCTTCAGCCCCACCCCTAGCCACCACCATAAGGTCGCGTGCACCTGTGTACACACTGTGCAGCAGCATGTGTGTGATTTTCGTATGTGCGTATTTGTGAACAACTTGTAATTCTGTGCATGAGTGGAGGCGTGCACGCATGTATGTGCATTCGCTTCTGAAGTGTACAGCCTTATGAACGGGTTTGCGATTGCTCATGGGTCGTGATTATTTAAGTTTCCATTGCCGTGAGCTATACTCGCCATAATCAGTGGCTTTCAGCGTAATATTCTCAGTGTTATCTGTATGCGATACGGGTCAAGTGCGAACGACTTCTAGGTCAGGATTCCTCTCCCCCCTCCCGAACTCGGGTGGTGAGATATGGTACGATCTTTTCCGAGATGACTGAGCACTTTATTCGTTGGCTCCCCACCTCCCTCACCACACAATGGACCTCGCCGTTTACAGCTCTCAGACGCTATGGCGCCTTTTGTTGGGTGTCTGTCTGTTTAAATATAGGCTTCCACTAAATTGCGCCGTCACGTCCCCAGTTCAAGGTGTGAATAAATTGCCACTGGTGTCAAAGTGTCACTGGAATTCAAAAATCTCGCAGATTGAGATATCCGAAATTGTAAATGCTTTTAACATTAACGGTGACCGGGCATTGGTCTCTTATTGATATCCCTAACCTGAATCGCTTAGAAATAACTGGCCTGCCAAAACTTTTATCCGCTTTACAGGTCGTTTGGTGGGTCTGTTGGGCTGAGTTATCCCGCAGACGTTCCTTGCTAGGCGTATTAAGACGGTTGTGTCAGCACTCAGCTTATACTAGCCGACGGGACGGGCAATTAGCTCCCACCGACCTCTGACCCAGAGTGGAAGCCTCAGTGTGGTGCGGTATTTCCATCGAGCTGTTGACGGCTCATGAGGCGTTGTCCGTGTCGGCTCTCCCGGATGGAGGTGTCGCGTGTTGGACCCTGTCTACCGACGGACTGCGCACTACCGGCGGGCGACCTGCCCCGCCTCGGGGCACCGTATCTGATGGATCGTTGTTATCATTTTAAACTCCGACGGTCTCCGACGGTCTCGATCTCCGACGGGTGCCAGACGGACACAATATACACGGATTTCTCTGCGGCTTTCCAAAGTGTTAATCATAAATTACTCCTGTTCAAACTATCCGAGTCTTACTGTATTAGCGGCAAAATTTTGGATTGGTTCGTCTCGTACCTGTCGGAGAGAGAGCAGAGAGTGATCGTGAATGGAAGAACTTCTGAGTGGGCTAAAGTAAAATCCGGAGTTCCGGAAGGGGCCCTTCTGGCCCCTTTGCTTTTTTCTCTCTTCATCAATGATTTGCCGATGGTTGTGTCGTCGTCCAAATGCGTCATGTATGCGGACGACGTCAAAATCTACCGGCAAATTTCAACTCCTGCTGATTGCGGCCTCCTTCAAACCGACCTCATCAACATTTGCAAATGGTCCACCGATTGGTGTCTTTCTCTCAACGCTCAGAAGTGCCTTTCGTTCACGGTCACTCTCAAAAGAGCACCCATCTTACACACCTACCTTGTCAACAGTTTCCCCCTTCAGCGTGTCGCAGAAGTTCGCGATCTTGGAATTGTGCTGGACTCTAAACTAACGTTTTCGGCTCATATTACCAGTTCAATAGCAAAAGCAAACAGAGCCCTCGGACAGCTATTCAGATCTTTCCAGACCGGCTTGCCCAGACAAAAACTTGATCAGAGGGCTCTGATAGCTACATATTACGCAAACGTCCGATCTATTCTTGAATACGGTAGTGTTGTGTGGTCTGGCGCAGCCAAAGTTCATTTAAAACGGTTAGAACGAGTCCAGCACAAATTCCTTATGTGGTTAGCAGCTCGGGCCGGTGGCACGGACAGATCAATTTGCCTGGAATACTGTCATCTTTTACACTTCTTCCATGTTTCGTCACTCGAGGCGCGGCGCATTCAGTTCGATCTTTTATTCCTGAAAAGCATTTACTCTGGACGCATCGACTCGTCTTTTTTATTAGCCTCGTACGCACTACATGTACCAAGTCGTCCAACACGGAACGTCCAGTTGTTTAATGTGCCGTTTGCTCGAGTCTCGACGGTAAAGACAGGAACTTTTACAAGGCTGGCGGCCCAGGCAAATGATTTTATCGCCAGGAATCCTCAGGTGGATTTCACGTCGGATACCTTTATCTCTTTTAAATCATTCGTCGTGGTCCACTGCAGGAACATGCCTTTGAGAACCGTGTCTTAGAGATTTTAAAGTTTGTTTGTACTTTTCCTATTCTTATTGTTTTTTTTCTTTTAATTTAATTTTATTTTTACTGTGTACTTTTATATTATATCCTATTATTTTAATGGATCTCTTTCATGGATCTCTGTATTTTTAAGTATCATCTAATTGCGAATGAGTGCTTAGTGTTTACCTTGTGTGTGTATTTTATGTTGTGGTATGACTTCGCCTGTTAATGGGCCATGAGCCTGTTGGCGATTTATTTGAATAAATAAATAAATAAATAAATAAACGGACAGGCTCACGATCCTAGCCGTGCCCCGCGTCCAAGTTTGTTTAAACGGTTGAGGTGTGAAGCAGTAAAATTATTTGTTATTTTAGATACCGAAAATGATTGTGTTGCACATGCTCCTACTTCAACTTAACTTTGGGGACAGCCCTCGTATTTAATTGAAGCCCGTGTACTGTTCATTAAAACGTTCCGATCACCATCACAGACTGACCCGCGCCGTCGCCGCAGTGACCTCTGTCGCCCTCGGTGTGACCCGTGCGGCGCCATGTGGGGTCGGTCCCGGCCGGGCGCCTGGTACCGCTGGTACCACCTGGCGCTCATGACGGCCACCTACATCACCGGCGAGCTCTCCCACTTCTTGGTCGGCATCGTCAGCCGCCAGATGGCGCAGGAGCTCCACTACGGCGACATCGGCTGCGTGGAGCGCGAGAACGCGACAGACGCTGGCGCCGACTGCTACACCTTTACCGACAATACCAGGTAACAGACGGAGAGACTGAGTCAGGCCCGGCGCCGACTGTTACACCTTTACCGACAACAGCAGGTAACAGACAGACGGACAAACGGACTGCCGGCTAAACATGCAGACGGACGGACAAACTGAGACAGACAGACAGACACATTAAACTCGCATACTGCCACAGTTCCGGGGCTGGTAGCTAGGCTCGGGCTGCCCGGCTCCGACGTCCGGAGCCCGAGTGGGCCGGACACAGCGACACTGTTAATGATATCGCCCCCCTTGTGATAGCTACCAGGAGCTATCCACTGATGGTTTCTGAAATTCCGGAGATGTGGTGTGGGGACACGTACTCAGTGTCACCCTGAACAGAGCACGGCCAGACAGCCACACCACGATTGTTTACTTATCTTATGACACATGCCAGGGCTCGACGCACGCGTCGAATATTTGTGTGCCTAAGGCCGCACCGCCGCACCGGCGGTAAACGGTTTTGTTTATTGATCAATGATCAGTGGAGGTTTCCGGGGGTGTGTCAGTTGAATAAATCTTAGAAACTGCATCAACGAAATCGTTTATTTCCTTTCTTGCTGAATGAAATCATGCAAACGCCCTATGTTGACCCCTACCCAAAGAGGTAGCTCTGAACTGCTCCCCGGACAGCTTCACTGACCTCTGGATGGACCTTCCCGGTCAGCTGGGTTAACCTCCCGCTCGCCGGACAGCTGATGTGACCTCTGGACTGACCTCCCGCTTCCTGAGCAGCTGACCATACCTCCCCGGGCAGCTGCACCGCAGTGGACTGACCTCCCCGGACATCTGTAGGGCAGTGGACTGACCTCCCCGGGCAGCTGTAGGTACCGCTGACCTGACCTCCCGCTCCCCGGGCAGCTGCCAGCTGTACGGCAGTGGACTGACCTCCCCGGGCAGCTGTAGGTACCGCTGACCTGACCTCCCGCTCCTCGGGCAGCTGCACGGCAGTGGACGCCTGCGAGTGGACCTACACGGGTCTGGGCATCCAGTACCAGGTGCTGGCCGGGCCGGCCTTCATAGGAGCCTTCACTCTCGCCGGCCTGGTGTTCGGCAGTCTGGCTGATTCGTACAACAGGTAGGTGAGCAGTGACACTGACACACTCCTTCAATAGGTAAGTGGAACAATAACGTACCTACTCAGTACTCTCGCTCACGGCAGCTCACGGCGGCTCCTATATCAACACGTCAATGGAACAGCAATGGAATCCTGTAATTGGGATACCTATCTTATATGCAGAAAACAAAGATTTTACCCATTTGGTGCTTATTGGGTGGGTTCGATTGTAGGTTCGTGTTATATTCCGTTATCTGTTATCAACGGGCTAAGGAGGCTGGCTCGCAAACGCTGCGGCCAGCCGCCCAGCCTCGGTTCAGAGCGCTGCGGCACAGTATAACTTCCACGGCTTTCAGTCATTGCGGTACAGCCTATCTATACGCTCACTCACAGCTCAATGATAAACCACACGGAAAAGTTATCGCTTACAGAAGCGGAGTGGATGATATCCTTTTCTCCTACTATACATTAAATCATGAAAAGGAGGAACAAGAACGTTTAACGTTACATGTTTGATGGTAAACGTTTACTATTTACCGTTTACCGTTTTTAACTTTAAACGTACAGATACTTTTAACCTTCGAGTGAATGTGATTATTTTATCTCGTTCCGTCACAGAATGCTATGCAGCTATCAATGTTCTCATTTAATAAGTAATAGCCCTTTTTGGTTAACGTATGTTTTGATATCAGTGCAATTTTAATCAGTTTGAATGCCAAATAAAAAATACAATTGTCCTTTGATAAACAGGTTTAATAAATTTCTGCTGAATGAAGAATGACTAGCCGTATCAAATGCCCTGATTCTTAATTCAGCCTTTGTATTAAAAGCTGAAATCAATAAAACGCTAGACGTTAAACGACTTGTTAGACGTTTTCTAAACGATTACTGTTACTGTTGAACTACTTCAACTCTCGGCTTGGACCGGATTGAGTGCTGCGTTGTTTGGTTAGTTTGTTGTCTGACCCTGTGTAGCTGACTCTGACTGTGTGTTGTTGTGTTACTCTGTGTGACTGTCTGTTATTCTCTGTGCGTGTCGGTCCTCAGACAGCGTCTGCTGACGTTCAGCACCGCCCTGCTGACCGTCTCCACCTTCCTGATGGGGTTCGCCGCCGAGTACTGGCACCTGGTGCTCTTCAGAATGTGCACCGCAGCCGGGTGAGTGCACGTGCACGGACCGGCCCAGCATCGAGCCCGTGGCCAGGGCCTCCCGGGTGGGATGGTTGGTGCGCTCTGTAGCAATTGAGGGCCGGACCATTCGAGAAGGACCACCATTTAGGATAAGTGTTGGGTTGAGTCGTTATTATTTTCGCTGACAACGGCTGACGAGCTTCGAGGGATTTCTATTTATTCGCTGTCTGAAAAGCTGCGTCTCGCCCGATCCCGCCGCATCGCGCCCTCTGAGTCCCCTGTGTCCCTGCAGGGAGGCGGGTTTCGCGCCACTAAGCTCCGGCATGATATCGGACCAGTTTCCGCCGCAGCTGCGCGGCATGGCTATGTCCATCTTCACCTGGGGCATCTACTTCGGCTACGGCATCTCCTACGCCATCGGCAACTACGTCTCGGCGGCCGACATCATGGGACAGGTGAGCAACCGCTTGGGACGTGATACGAACTTGCTTGCCAAGTGCTCGGATTAATTATAATTGTTTCGTGTCCGAACAAATGTCGCCGATACGCAACCGAACGCTCATCCACGGTCCGGTTGCGTGCCTGTAGAAGCGGGTCGTATTTAGTGGTCTGGAGCACTGACCCGGTGCCCGGAGCACTGACGCGGTGTTCGGAGCACTGACGCGGTGTTCGGAGCACTGACGCTGTGTTCGGAGCACTGACGTGGTGTTCGGAGCACTGACACTGTGTTCGGAGCACTGACGCGGTGTTCGGAGCACTGACGCGGTGTTCGGAGCACTGACGCGGTGTTCGGTGTTGGGACAGAGCTGGCGATGGGCGTATTACGTGGCGGCCATTCCCGGAGCCGTCCTGTGCTGCCTCCACCTGACGGCGCACGACCCGCGGACCAGACAGGCGGTGCTCAGCGACGGAGAACACGACCTCTACCGGATAAGTACGGACGAACGGACGGCGCGACGGCGATAAGCGTAACATCACATACCTACGGGATATAACCAGGGCTATGCGCCATAAAACAGTTCTCATACCTACCGAAATATCTATCGTGTCTATCGTATTATTGTGCCGTTTGCTCAAGGACCCAGAGTAGCGTGGGAAGGGGGGCGCTGTATAGTGCTACCGTATGATCCCTGCGCCTCTGTCCGATGTCCCGTCCCGACTCCCAGCGCCCCTGTCCGCTGCCCACAGAGACCTCGGAGTCAGAGGCGGCACCGGTCGCCGCCGCGGAGGCCGCCGAGGGCGCTGGGTCGCGCGCCGGCTGGTGGAGCCGGTTCGTGGTGGACAAGCTGCGGGTGTTCCTGCAGCCGAGCATCCTGCTGTTGCTGCTCGGCGCCTCAATGCGACACACCGGTCAGTGCCAAACTGCAAATTTGTACTGGACCAAAATATAAACTTGTCGGTGATACTTTTATTGGACGATTTTGAAATTCCGTGCTTGGGGTAGCTGATGATCACAATATAAGTGCATGGAGCAGTATACATATTTATGTTACGATTTACGAGTGATTATCCTATTGATAGCTTACCTTTTGATAACCATGGTTATAGTGAGTAACCTCTGAGTTATCCTCGTTTTTGTCGAAATAGGAATATCTACGGCGCAGTGATAAGAGGGCGTACACATACCGGTTTAACTAACAAGTCCATTTATCCGATTGTTTTGTCTACCCCGCAGCCGGGTTCTGCTGGTCGACAAACACTCAGCTGTACTTCCAGACCTACTACCCGACGGCCGACCTGGGTCTGTGGCTCTCCTGGGTCAGCATCGTCGGCGGCTCCATCGGTGTCACCGTAGGTCAGTCCTGTTTGTCTGTCTGTCAGTACCCAGTCAGTCTGTCCGAATCTGATGGTCAAGCAGCCACCGTTGCGTATTTTTGTCCGATACGGAATGCAACCAGTGAGGTCTGTTAATTTGTTTGTTTTGCTCGTTCGTTTGTTTGTTTATTTGTTTGTTTGTTTGTTTGTTTGTTTGTTTGTTTGTATGCACGTGTACGACAGGGGGTGTCCGTCAGAGAGTGTGACAGAGGGACTGCTGTGTGTTTCTGTGTCCGATGTAAGTAAGGTCAGTGATATCTGTCCGTGTCCGGCAGGCGGGTGTGGTCAGTGATGTTTTGTTCGTGTCCGTTAGGCGGTGTGGTTAGTGATGGTTGTTTGTTCGTGTCCGGCAGGCGGTGTGGTCAGTGACCGGCTGGTGAAGCGGATCGGACTCCGGGCCAGGATCTGGGTACTCTCGGCCAGTCAGGTAGGAACGGGAAATACGAGACTCCCTACCTAAGAGCTGCAATATTAAAGCTGGATCACCCAGTGGAATTAGAAAGTTGAAGGCTGTTTGCAATCGGACATTTAATTTCGCTGATTTTGATATGAAGCCATTTCCAAAAGGCATGCCTCAAGTAGTCAATAGTAAGGCATGGAATTGGCTGTTTCGTACAAGAATTGCTCCGTTCCGTTTCAGTTGGGGTCCATGATTCCCACACGGTGCCACTTTTTACGTTCCCGCTCCGTTTCAGCTGGTGGCCACGCCGTTCGCGGTGGGCGTGCTGTACTTTCCGCCGCAGTGGTGCTTCGTCAGCCTCCTCACTGCCTATCTGTTCGGTACGTGCAGTGTCGCGTGCCATGACGACACTCGTATCGAATTGATTGATTAGATCTTATTAAATCCTGATTAGATAGCCTGATTAGATCCTAAGATCATGATGTGATATCCATCCCTACTGATCGTTTCTCTAAACAGGCGCTCGGGCGGAGTATCCTGTAATCGTCAAGTCTGAATGCCTGGGTCTCGAATACCTATCTATAGGTGGTCAATAAACATAGACTGTGAACATCCCTTTCAGCAGCATTAATCTCAGTGTGATCAATGTGGCAGAGAAGACCGTAAACGATGCATATGCTGGCATTCTAACTATGATGGGATAAACACCGAATGACACCGAGGTAAATGGCCGTATATGGACTATGACCGCCGTGCTGAGTGTCCCCGTCTGCCCGCCACTATCACAGCCGAGATGTGGTTCGGAGTGGTACTCGCCATCGTCGTCGAGCTGGTCGAGCCCGACGTCAAGTCCTCCACGGTCGCCATCTTCCTCTTCATCATCAACAACGTGGGCGGCAACATGCCGCTGGCGGTGGACGGGCTCAGCGACGTCATCGGCTACCGGGACGCCCTCTACGTGCTCTACCCGGGCATGTACTTCGCCAGTGAGTCCGGACGACCGTGCACACGGCCGCACATACGCGTGATATTTATACCTATCTCCCAGCGCTCTGTCTAGAGTATAAAAGTCTAGAGTTTTATAGCATTGGCTAGTATTAAAAATAAAAAGTAAAATGAAAAATATTGGGTCGATCTTTTACTTCTCGCATGCAAAGTGTGAGGGTAGGTATTGTATTGACCCTCCCCGTTGCCTCTCCGCCCAGGTTCGGTGGTGTTTCTTCTGACGGCGTTCGCGCTCCGCCGGGACGGCCAGCCGCCCGCCGCCGCTCAGGAGCTGGCAGAATCATAACCGACTCTCAGGTGCCGTCCTTTTGAATCAATTAAGGCTTTACTCGCAGAGTTTCTGCTCAGCTCTCAGCCTGAGTTCACAGTGTGTCTGAGCTCTCAAACTACAAACCCCAACTCCCGGATAGCTCAGGAAACTGAGAGCCCTCTGAGAGCTCAGACGTCAGCTGTTAGTCGTTACTGTAAATGCTCACACTCAGTTCGCCAGTTATCGTGATCTGCTCATTTCGCCCAGTTCGCAATACTGAGTTCTTTAGTGAGCTGCTGGCGACTGGTTGCACTTTGGCCTGAGTTTCGAGTGCTGAACAGGACTTACATGCTCTCTTACATGGAAGCAGAAGCCAGAAGTCGTCCCTGCCACGAGCGATGGATCGTATTACATGCGTAGCTGATTATATATGGAAACTGTGTCGTAGGGACGATTTTGTATTTGTTCATGTTGTCACAGATATGGACTGGTCGTTTGGGCCGACGCCTGCTGTTTCCAATATATAGGTACAGGGTGTCCAGAAAAAAGATACTACGGAAATTAAGTCGCATTCATTAACGCACGTGCCGATTTTGTTCCAAATTCATGTGCTTATAGTGCAAGATTTGGCAAAACTCATGAGCACTGTAATGCGTCGTTGCAAAGTTGTCTGCTTGCCCTCCGAGATGGTCAACATGACCATCAGTCACCTGCAGACTGTGCTAGTGCTTGAGCTGATCCGCCGTAAGGCCGCTCACATTGAGTGTCTGCTTTGAGGAGCTGCCGCAACTAACCCAAGGCCATCTATAGAAGGTACAGTCACTCCCCCACCGACCAATCAGAGACAGATCCTGAGTGACGTCACCCCTGATGCTCGAAAGGGGTACTCCATTCCTTTACAACGTAAAAATGACTAACTTCATTTGAAGATTGCTGGTGACACTCTACACACATCGCTCAACCATTGATGGCATTTGAAAGTCCAACTAATTTTCTAGCGATAAAAAAGAGCAGCAATATGCTAAGAAATGGCCGGTTTTGAAGATGTAGACGATTTAAAAACCCTCTGCAGTTGCAGGAAAGCAACGTAAAAACGCATCGAGCTTATATTTTTACTATGAATAAATCATTTTTCAGTAAGTTTTTAGATATGGTATCGATTTATTCAACAACTTTATTACAATATTTTTATTACTTGGAACTTTATTTCAATATAATATTTTCAAAAATGGCAACTGTTGGTAAGTAGCTTTGAAGCGATTGTGGCGCGCCGCGCCATTATTGTCCTGAGGCCCCCATATGATGTCATCAAAAGTGGAGTGACATGGGCCTGAACTAACCAAAGAGTTTACATGCCATGTGGCACCTGCTGTCTGTTTTGCCATATTTTGGCGAATACAAGCATGTGCCATTTTAAAATGTAAGGTGTTTATTTTCGGAATTACAGCAAAAAATTATAGTATCCGTTTTTTCTGGACACCCTGTAGGCATTTTAGATATTTTGTGTTGTTACTCGTCAATATATTCAAATAGTATGGTGCAAAATATTATCCTTGGTGAGGAATGTCAGCAAGTAAGCACAGTAAAATGCCTTGTATTTTAAACTTGCTATTCTGATAAAGAGCTGTGCTCGAATTTATCAATAAACAAGTGTTTTTGCTTTAACTTTTTAAACTACGAGGAAAAGGTCACTAATTTAAAAGACATTATTTTCGATCTAAGCACTGAAATAAATTCATGATATGAAGATATTTGTTGTAAAAGAGATTTGGTGCAGATTTGGTCAAATTAGGTGCATTCGCCAGACAGCCCGTCGTGAAAACGGCGGGTTTTGGTGTAGTGGAAAAGGTACAATTCGGTACTTATCACCGATATTCCGAGTAATGGCTGATGACCGTCAGGCACTGCATGGTAGGTAGAGAAGCATTTTTAATCCGACAAATCCGAGACATAGAAATAGCTCCACAACTATCTTAGGCCTAACTATGAGGAATCATTAGGGCTTTAAGTTGAAAGGACTTGACATAATTTAGGTATGTACTGATCGCCGAACTCCCCAAACTAAGCCGATTCTAAGGAAATGCATAAAAGCGACATTAGTGCATACGTTTGCGCTTTAAATAGCCGTTTCCGTTTACGTTTAAAAGCCGTTTAAAAAATGTGGGTACTTGACAATGACATCACGATGGTTATCGTACCTATAATATTTGTTTGTCACATAACAGCGCTACATCATGGAGATATAAACAAGCAAACAGATTAATTGCGAATTGATCAAAGCAAAACAGAGATCTATTGCGACAAAATTTGTATTTGGCTAAAATCTTCTGGTCCTTGCATTACAGTGCTAATGCCCTCGGTACATTTCGCTCTGCTAATGAGTTTGCTTGCCTTGCAATCAACATCGTGTACCGTAAGGAGACGGGTTGTAATCATTCACTCGACTAAAATAATAACCGTCGATACCTTCTCGATATATGTACAGTGCCGTCCCAAACATGTAAAATTGTGGACAATACCAGCGTCCAGCATACTCGCCAACGACCTCGCTTCTTATCCCCGGAGCCCGGATACACAAGGGGAACGGTCCCATGAAACATCGTTACGGCTCCTTGTAGTACACATAATTAGCGTTCGAGGCGGTGAATATCAATACCTTGAGTGCTGCTGCTCCAGTCGCCGGTGCTTGACGGCGCACATCTGGAGACTACCTACTGCTGCGGCTGTGCAGCCCGTGGCCGACAGATGAGTCGGAACGGGTGCGGCGGCAGCAGCGCACCGTAGTTGCCGTCCAGGTCGAGCGTCTCCCCTTCGACGGGCTCGAACGTGAAGTGCTGCAACAGCGAGACGAAGAGCAGCAGCAGCTCGGCCCTGGCCAGTGGCTCGCCCAGGCAGAAGCGGCGGCCCACGCCGAACGGCATCAGGTGTTCGTCGCGGCGCACGGAGCCGTCCTCTCGCAGGAAGCGCTCGGGCCGGAACTTACCCGGGTCTCCCCAGTGATTCGCGTCCATGTGCACCGCGTCCAGGTCCATGAGTACGACGGTGCCGCGCGGCAGCGAGTAGCCGGCCAGGTGGCAGTCGCGCGCGGCCGCGTGCGGCACGGCGCGCGGCAGCACGGTGGCGCGCCGCATCACCTCCATCAGCGTGGCGTCGGTGAGTGGCAGGCGCGCCCGGTCGGCGCCGCTGGGCCGCCGGCCGCCCAGCTCGCGGTCCACCTCGGCCTGCACGCGCCGCTGGGCGGCCGGGTGGCTGGCCATGTAGAGCAGCGCCCAGCTCAGCTGCGTGGACGTCGTCTCCATGCCGGCAATGAACAGGTCCATGCCGGTGACAGCTAGGTTGAGCTCGGTGAAGCCGCGCTCGGCCGCGTCCGTCGTCTCCATCTCTATCAGGAAGTGGTCCATGAGGTCGCGCGGGTGGTCGCGGTCCAGCGTGGCGCGGTGCTCGGCCAGCAGCCGCAGGAACGTGGCGTTGATGACCTCTCGCTGGCGCTCCAGCGCCGAGAAGCCGCTCCACTCGGGCACAATGTGCCGCAGCCACGGCGCCATGCCCAGCGGGCTCGTCGGCCTGATCATCTCGAAGAACTCCTTGACGAGCTGGACGTAGAGGCGCGCCTCCGGGTCGGACGGGTCGATGCGGGTGCTGGCCACGACGCGCCACAGGATGTTCAGCGCGGTCAGGTTGAAGTACCCGAGCACCTGCAGCGGGCGTCCCTCCAGGAGCTCCATGTCTCGCCGGAGGTGCTCGAACTCGCCGAGGATGCCCTCCTCCATGTCCTTGCGGCCGAGTCCCAGGTCGCGCAGGTGGCGCAGCGCGAAGCGGCGCTGCTCGCGCCACACGGCGCCGTCGTTGAAGATGATGCCCATCTTCTTCATGTAGCTGCGGACGAGGAGCGGCAGGATCTCGGGCCGGCCGCTCAGCTCGGGCATGGCGCTGGCCTCTCGGATCAGCTCGTGGCTGCACAGGTTCACTATGCCCAGGCCGGTGGGCGAGACCGCGCCGTTGATGTCGCCGTAGAGACGGCGCCGTTTGCGCAGCGCCTGCCGAATGCCCATGGTGAACAGCTCCAGCGTGGCGGACAGCGAGCCGAACACGAGCACGCACGGCGGTCCCGGCGGGAAGTTGGCCGGCCGCTTAGGACGGTGCACCCACACCCAGGCCAACAGGGCGGCCAGCGCCAGACCCAGCCAGAGTAAAGCGGCCATCACTGCCACGGTGACAGGCGAACCGCACAGGATGGCTCACACTCGGTACGCCGCTGACTCCAACGTCACTGCCGACCCGGACCGGTTATATAACTAGCGGCACAGGCCACACCACACCACTGTCTCTCACAATCCTCAGCGAGTCTGGCTGGGAAATTAGCCCGGCGTATCTCCCTGCAGACCCTCGCTGCAGAGCAGCTCTCACTGCCGTCTCAGCATCGGCACACACTGTTTACACATGCCCTCCGCCGACCGACCGACTGGCCAGGCGCCGCTGACTCCGTCCCTGGCTCGGTAATCCAAGGACAAATCAGCGTCAGCTCGCGTCGGTACAATGAATTGACGGAGGGCATTGCCAGTTGCCACCCTGGATATCGTTGAGCAGCTTCCATCCATATCAGCTATGGCACCGTTGTGGTGGGCAGACGAAATACAGCTATGGCACCGTTTGATTTTGTTCATTCAACATTATTTGAAGTAATGGTAGAGAAACCGTGGCTTTCAATGACGTATGTTGTAGGCTGTGCCCAGCTGGGCCTCTGAACTTCCAAGCTCTGCTAGGGGAGGAGGGGGGGGGGGGGGCGTGAACCGTTCTAACTCGTCTCCTGGGCCACGTAGCGACACGCGGTGAGCGACGCTCGAAAGGGCATCAAAAGTGAAAAAAGTTTCCAGATCATGTCTAGGTCAGGTCACCAGAGGTCAATCTTTTCTGCACATGTTACGAAAAAATCTAACCAGGCCGTTGAGGTCAGGTCACCAGGTTACCTCAAGTGACCGTACGTCAGGTAAAGTTCCAATGTTTGGCATAGCTACACATGGTTACGCCGATTGACCAATTGATTTGAAACTTTCAGCAATTGATAGAGGCAACAATATGTAGGCATTATGTTACGTACCTACCTATACCTATCTCAGAATTTCTCTGGTTGCAGATAAACACGAAACATTGAATCGGAAAATTGCACCTGTGACCCCTCTTTATGTCCTTGAGGTCTTCTCAGGTCATGAAATATCCGCAACAGTTTTTCGACAATAGCTTTTTTTATTCAGCTTCACGTTACGGATTGACAGAACTGATATCCAATAGAACATACTCCGGCCAGGTCATGGCCTTGACTTCTGGTCAAATTTGAAGTTGAACTTTAGGTTAAATTATAATGCATTACCTACAACGCGTCTCGACAAGAGAAATACGATACTGGTAAAATTAATATGCAATTTTTGAGTGAAAAGTTATTGCAAAAAAGCAGTCAAAGCAAAAAACTGTCAACGTCTACAGTTTCTGCCCTCTGTCCTCTGCAGTTGAACAGTTGACGTGTGGTCAAATTAGGTACTCAAAACTGTTAGGTATATGATTGAGAAAGAGCTTCAACAGTGCTTTCGAATATCTTTCTCCGCGGCGATATAGCTTCATTCATTTTCGAATTACATGCGCCGATTTGTGAAAAAAAATATTGAAATAGGCGAAACTTGATCTTTGGCGACCTTTGCTTTGGCGACCTGACCTTTGACCTGACCTGAAAAATGACTGAGGTTATTCCGTCATGAATTTTAATTCTCCTCTAAACACCGCTTACCGCGTATCGCTACGTGGCCCAGGGGCCGAGTTAGAGGGAAGGGATGTTCAAACACCTCCCCCCAGCAAGCAGGGCGTGGAAATCTATAGGAGCCCTAGCGGGGTGCGGGTTAATAATGTCCTCAGATTACGCCTTACGGCCTTAGGTTAACAGTTTAGGCTCGAGAGTGCAATAGCTGTCGAAGTTGACGTTTGTGGGGAAAATATTTATCTGCAATAACTTTTCACTCAAAACTTCACATCAATTTCACCGGCATCGTATCTTCCTCGTCCAGACGCGTCGAATTAACTACAATTTGACACTAAAATGTCAACTTAAATAATCCGACCCATTATTATCAAAGTGAGTTCGGTGGCATGGCAGTCGATCCGTTTCGTAGGTCTGTATTTTCATCGTTCTAGCATGTCTTTTTCAAACGGTATCGTCGAAAAAAGACTGGAGACATTTAATGGCTATTCGCTACGCTTAGCTACGTTCTTTTCAATCGTCGCAATATGGTAGATACCACATAAAATGCGATATTTCATTCCAATACTTTTTATTCAAACAATCATCACGCAACACGCGACATCACAACTGCATCGCAAGTGGACGAATTCGTATAACACAAACAATTTTTTGATTCAGGCAGTACACAGTTCTAACGCACAAAGCGATGCATCACGAATACATGCAACATTAGGTAATACAAGAAGCATGCAGGGTTCGCGTCAAACTTGTACACTGGTGTTTACTATTTTACCTGATGATTCATTGAAAGTACGCAGGCGAAACGGTCATAGACCGTTCGGTCTAACATTTTGCCACAAGGAGTGGGCGTGGCACGCGCGAGTGAGTTTGTGTGGGGGCTGACACAGCCTCATGCCAGCTCCTCCTCGGGAAGAGG